GCAGGGAGACAGCCTATAGACTGGGAAAAAGTATTTGCCAACTCCAGGTCTGACAAAGGCCTAACATCTAGGATCTACAAGGAACTCAAATTTGCTGAAAAGAAAAAAACAAACAACCCCATTACAAAGTGGGCAAAAGATATGAACAGACAGTTCTCAAAAGAAGACATACGAGTGGCCAACAGAACATGAAAAAATGTTCAAACTCACTAATCATCAAGGAGATGCAAATTAAAACTACACTGAGATACGACCTAACTCCAGTCAGAATGGCCATTATCAATAACTCAAAAAAATAACAGATGATGGAGAGGATGTGGTGAAAAGTGAACACTTCTACAGTGTTGGTGGGAGTGTAGACTAGTGCAACCTCTTGGGAAATCAGTGTGGCAATTCCTAAAAGCTCTAAAAATTGACATTCCATTTGACCCAGCCATCCCCCTACTTGGAATATACCCTGAAGAACTCAAATAAGTCTATAAAAAAGATCCCTGTACACGTATGTTTATCACAGCATTGTTCACAATATCGAGATCATGGAACCAACCATGATGTCCTTCAAAAGAGGACTGGATTAAAAATTGTGGTACATATACACTATTGAATATTATACAGCCATAAAAAAGAACAGAATCTTGAATTTCACAGCAACCTGGATAGAACTAGAGTCCATAATACTGAGTGACCTTTCACAGGAACAAAGATCTGAGTATCACATGTTCTCACTCATATGGTGGACCTTGAACATCTGTTGTAATACTATAAGAAAAGGATTGACAGTGTGGAAAACTATGGGGGGGAGAGGAAGGGGAAGGGAGGTGGGATTAATGGTAGTCAATATCTTTCTGGGTAAGGGGAGACACCCCTTATCAACAAGGGTGACTGAACAAAGCATATTTGTATACCTAACCCTTAACTGACCCCACAATATTAAAATAAAAATATTGATTAAAAAAAGAACAAAATCATGAATTTCACAGCAACCTGGATAGAATTGGAATTTATAATATGAGTGATCTCTCACAGAAACAAAGATCTGAGTATCACTTGTTCTCACTCATAAGTGGACCTTGAACAACTATTGTAATACTGTAAGAAAAGGATTGACAGTGGTGAGAAACTATGG